AGCAAATAATCCCCACATCTATGTCTGAGGGTAAACTGTTTACAAGAAAGTTCTTTGAAGCTATTGTGTGGTTAGTGCTTTCTTTCTCTTTCTCTTTTTTTTTTTCCCCAAGTAAAGTTCTTTAGAACTGTTTAGAAGCAGATGGCACCTGTCTTTTTTTTCTTAAATTAGTAGTTATTTTTACCTTTGCAACAGTATTTAAATATGAAAACACAGTGTGCTCCTCAAGTAATAATTTTATCACAGTCTTCACTTGATGCTGAGGTTCTTTACAATGAATGTATTTCCAAATTTAGCAGCAAGTAACATGTATTAACTTGAGTTGTTGGTACAGGTGAGAGGCCTTTCATGCCTTTAAGTTCAAGTTGATTTAACTCCTAATTCTGACACGCCTGTGGTAAAATGATAGTAAAGGTGAAACTGAATCCCTTTCATTTCAGAGACACAAAGCACTTTGCCAACAGAAAGGCGGCATTATTTTCAACACCTGCAAGCTACAGAGGTGGCAGTTACCAATTCCCCTGCTGTGAAGAAAGGAAACTAACTGCTGAATGAGATTAGGGTCATGGCCCCACAAGTTTTAGGGGCGAAAAAAACAGGTCACAGGATTTCCCTTTCCTGGGGTCCCTAGGACTGAGTTCATCTCATCAGGGCCAACAGAGACCACATTGCAAAGGAGAGAAAGGGAGAATGCCTACTGTGCCTGGTCCATTTGGTTCTCATTCATCCACTCTCTCAATCATTTGTTGAACACCTGATGAATATGGTGCTGTGCTGAACAATGGGGAGGGAACCAACGCCACAGACTGCCTTCCGGGAGCTTCCGGTCAGTGTTCTTGCAAAAAGCCAGTGCAGCCCCAGTTTCTAGTCTCCCACTTGCAATCCCGCCTTGCTCCTGAGTCAACAGCCTAAGAACTGGATGCACAGTGAAGAAGAGCAGGACCAGACATTTGTATTTTTAATTCAAATTAAAAATTAGACAAAAAGAAAAACACACCATGCTCCAAAGTGCGTAGATACTAAGTGCAGTGTGGGTGGCAGGAGATCGGTAGCCAGCAGTACGTACCCGGGATAGGCTGTGAGGCCCTAAAAGACAATGTGGGGGCGGGGGCGGGGGCGGGGGCGGGGGCGGGGGGACAACCACGGGCACGTGGAGTCCCAGCTAAGGGAAAAAGGAAAGGGAAAAGAGAGGCTCGGATTCCTCCGCAGCCAGGAACACTGATTGGAGCCCTTCTGTTGGAAAATGCACACTTTTCATTTTTCTTTACAGGAGGCATTTGCTGGCCATTACCGGAGGCCAGAGTTCTGTGTTACCATGTGGACACAACACTGCTCAGGCTCCCGAATTCCCCGCTATGCAGTGAAAGTGTCCTGGCCCAGCCCCCTGCCCCTCAGCCACTCCAGAGCACAGTGTACCCCGCAGACACTGTGGACACACCAGAGTTTTTTGAAAATGTTTGAAAGGAAAAACCCAGTAATAACTGGAAGGCAAAGGTAAGAGAACTTTCCTCTACAGAAACTGTGGAAATGGAGACCACGCGATGCTACTAACTGGTCTGCAGGACATTTTTCCAAAGGACTCAGCCTCATGTCTTAATGTGGTTTACACTGACTGAAGGCCTAAAACAGCACTTTTCAAATTGAGTCACAACCCATTCGGGGGATGTGAGATCACATGGATTTGACTGTTTGTTTGTTTTTTAAATGAAACTGAATAAAACCATGCAGCATAAAATAGGAAATATTAGAGTCCATTGCTGGTAATAATAAGCATCATTTTATGAAATTTGTTTCCATTTGATACATACCTATTTCTCACTATCTAAATCTATCTGGTTCCTAAGCAATAATATATAAAGCAAGAGGTCCTATATGATATGCTTCATTGGGATTGCCAAAAATGTATTTTTCTTAATTGCAGATCAGATTGTGGGGGAGGTAGGGGTCTAAAGTTACTCACTTAAAGAAACTATAGTTAAGTGGGATGGAAATTTTTTTAAAAATTGACTCCATAATAACTTAACACTTCCTCTGTCACCCTAATTATCTTTTATTTGGTTTCCTTGAATTTGCATGTGTGTTTGTGTATATGAAAACATCTAGTTTTATTACAAACATTTTTTTCAATTCTGCAAAACAGACAGGAACAAAAAGTGCAAAAGAACTGAAAACAAGACACAGGTTTGGAGGCAGAGGGCCAAATACCCATCACAGAGCAGGGCTCGCCCAACTCTGCCCTCCTTGTGCCAAACCTCTGGACAGAGTCTGCACCAGATGAGGCTCCCTTCTCCCTTGGCAAAGCTATGAAAATGCCAATTTCTTAAATCACTGGGCAAAGGACCAACGGCTCTCTAGGATATGGAGCCCTGAATAGGATCATGGCCAGCTCATATTTTTAAGTAGAAATGAATTTGTTGATGTATCATAATTTTTGTGAACTTTTTGACAAACTCTAAAATGAAGCAGTATTTTTAAATATCAGTTTTGAATAATTTAACCAGTTGGCCTGATACTCTGAAACAATCCTCTTCACCCCCCGCCCCAGGCCCCTCACTCCTCAGACCCCACCCTGGGGGATGAGGGAAAGCTATCACATCTGTCCTGGTCTAAATGGCTCCATGTAGATCATTGGGACCATCACCATCCAGGGGCTTCAAGTAGTTAGAGGCTTGGGAACTTAGCCCCTCGAATTTCCAAACACATCCTCAGGGCGTGTTGCCCTAATGGTTTCATGTCCAGACTTGAATTCAGGAGCCACTAGCTTACAACCAGATAATTATAATAGAAGAAGTCACTTAATCTAGTGGGGATTGACTATACCCTGGAACTAACCACACTCACACCACATGACATCTGGGGCATTGTGCTCTTAGCATCTTAATGATGACTGTGTTACTAATGAAATAAACGTTTCAGCCTTAGAGTCAGGCAGATTTGGCCCAAGACAGAGTAAAGAGAGTAAAGACTTAAAAACAGCTGTTTCAACTTTACCGCTGGTGTAGGAAGAGGACTTTCGTCACTTGGTCAATGCCTAGGATTATAATTGTGTTGCATTCTCTGGTTTTTTAGAATCTTAGTAAGCCTACGCAGTACACATGACTGCCAAAACCAGCAAAATTAAGAATTTTTAGTTTTCCTAAAAATATTTTAATGTGATTTTTCAAGGTATTCAAACAACTAGATAGCAGAGCGAAAGTCTTAGAAATATATAATTTATGTACTCTGTCCTCCAAAATGTATTGCAAAATATAACACCAAGCTTTTTAAAAATATAACTTCAAATTCCTTAGTTTTCCCTATGAATTCTACCATCTAAGTGTACAACTGTCAGGGTTTTTTTTTCCAATCATTTTCCCATTCCTCAAATTAAGTAAATCTTTTGAGTTTCCTGATGGCGAAGCTTATTCATGAAGGTTAACACGCTGATGATAAGCCTGAGTCAATTAGAGACATTTGGGGTAAACACTACCAAGAAAGCAGTTAGATTTGGTGGTGGGACAGTCCCGGTAGCACCACCAGGCACTTCCTCTACTAGGTGGCAGTTTCTAAAACACCAAGTAAACAATTTTAAGTAGATTATGTCTTTAATCAGGAGTTTGCTCCACTGGTAGCTCATTATACAGTTATAGTAGGTTTCCAGCCTAGGAAGCAGACATTGCACTTTCAACTTGCTAGTGAATGCATACAATAGCAAATCTTGAACATTGAAAAAATTGATCAAATCAGGACATTTATGCATACATTGTTCAATGCTCAACTATTGGAAACATTTTTAAACATCAATGAACTACTAAATTTTCATCCAGTTCTGCATTTCTTATACACCTCTGTAGTCCATGAGTCATTAATAGTAGTGACAAATTGGGGGACGAGGGTGACCTTTACACCTTCCCACTAAGTACCAACATCCAGAATCCTGCACTGTGGTCTCTGATGGCATAAAAAAGAAATGAGCTCTTAGCTAAACTCTTTACAGCAAAAAGGAGAATGAAAAATGAAATTGCAAAGAAACATTAAGTATGGAAGCTTCAACTTGTCAACAGTTGAAATTACATCTTCAGATTCCCTACCATAAAGGGCCTGGATCTAAACTGAGTGTATAAAGAAGTCGACTTTGCTATGGAAAAGGGAGAAAAGAAAGGAAGGGGGGAAAATAATTTCCATTGGATAGAAATATGAGAACATATGGCATCATTCACATGGCAGAACTCCTACCTGTTTGGATCTTCAGAGGAGGAATGATGGACATTCCTGCAACCCCAGGGAGGTGGCTTTTGCATACATATTTAAATAAATCACTCCAGTACATGAGAGAAGAGCAGCAGAACTCTTCTAATTACCACTGCCTGGCCCCCAAGTGCTGCTTTTTCTTTAAAGCCACGCTAGTGCATTATTCTCCCATCAACTCTTTTAAATGATTCATTCCCCGCCCCCCCCTTCACTCGGCGCAGACTTTGCAGGAAAGCTAGTATTTGAGTTTAATTTCTAGTGCCACTTGCTTTGCAGAGCTTGCTGAGAGGAAGGAGGAAAAATCTAATTTAATAATTCTGTCATGATTTGGAGGGGAACCCTACGCCGCCACCCCCAAAATAACTAGACAAACAGGACCCTCTGGTAAGCTATAATTTTGAGCAAAAACACCAATTGGGAAAGCAGGGCCCACGTGCAGTGGGAGCTGTCACCCAAGGGAAGTGGCAGCCGGCGAGGAGGAGGGAGTGTGGGAGAGAGTAGGGCTGCTGCTCGCAGCTGCACCGGCCTGAGCGCTCAGGGGAAGACCTGACTCCCGCTGTAATGGTGCTTACTTCTCTGCTGGACACTAGACACGGGGAAATGGAAGGGCAGGGAGGCCGGCTGCCGCATCCCCGGGAGCTGTCACTGCGAAAGCGACAACCCCAGTGCGCGCCGCGGGCTTCCCCAGAAGCCTGAGCCCGCGCGCAGGGCGCCGGGCGCCACCAGGTCCGGGCGCCCCACGCGCGCCCAGCCCGCCGCCCCTGCCTTACCGTCCCAGCTCCGACTCCACCTCGAAGAAATCGCTCAGAGCGTCCCTGTTGGAGCCGTCGATCCAGTAATCCGGGACGAGGCTCCCGGCCCCCGGGGCCACACTGGCGGTGACCGAAGAGCAGGACGAGGCCGAGCACGAGGGCACCGTGACTTTGAGCATCTTCGCGGCGGGACTCCGGAAGCCGCCGCCGCGGTCGCCGCTGCTGCCGGAGCGAGAAGCCCCGCCGCTCTGGCCGTCGCCTGAGAACGCAGGAGCGAGAGGTGGTGTCCTTCACCCACACGCACACGCCCACCGCCGCCGCCTCACCGCGCGCCCTCGGCTGCTGGGGCTGCGGCTTCCTTTCCGCACGCTCGGGAGGGAGGGTGGGTGGGCGGGCGGAGAAGGGGGCGAGGAACTGGGAGAGGGTGTGGAGGGTGAGCCCCAGTCGCCGCCCGCAAAGAGAGGAAAGGCGGAGGGACTGCGAAGGGGAGATATTCCCTGCCCCCTCTCTCCGTACCTCCCCACCTCCCCTCCGCCCTCCACCAAGCCTTTCCAGCCCCCCTCCCTTCCTTCCTTTCTCCCTCTCCGGCAGTGGCTGCGGCGGTGCCGGCTAGGGCGGCTCCGGATGCAGGAGCTCGAGGAAGCACAAGGACCGGAGCATCATCCCACGCGCCCTCCTGCGGGAGCAGGGCGCCGGGAAAGGACCACGCGCAGTGGGACGCTCGCTCCGGGAGTGCCGGGTGGCCCAGCAGGATGCTGAGAAAGGGACCTGGCTGTTGGCGCAACTCATCGCTCCTTGAGCGTGCCTGGGTGGCCAGCCCCTCCCACCCACCACCAGCTAACCAGCCATCTCTTGCTCGTCCCCCTATCAATGCTTGTATTAGTGGCCTGTGTCCACGCTGACCTGACTCACCTTTGAGTGAAGTCTTCTGCTGGAATAGATTCTGTGGTGGTGCTGCTGCTGCTGGCACTGCCTCCTTTGGCACTGTTGAGGCTCTTTGAAAGGCAGGTACTTGCTCTGTCTCCTTCACTCCCGGGCTCTGAAGGCTAGCCACAGAAGTGACCCAGAGAATTACAGGTCTGAAAGGGCCCTATGGAAGCCACCTGGTCCAGCCCTGCGCCGTAAGGCAAGACTTCTCATCATTCATTCAGAGAAGACTGCTACATTTTAAAGCTCTGTCCTCTTCCCAGAAGATGTGTCCCATCGCAGGCATTCTAAAGTCTGTTCATCAACCTTCAGGCTATTATTCCAAGTATTGGTTAAATATATATCATTTATAGTTCTACCCTTGAACCTTTTCTTTTCAGATTTCAGCAGAGGTGAACAGCAATTAGTCATTATGTTCTGCAATAAATCTTTATCACGTCACAGCTCATTTCTAGCTAAAATAACTATAGGCCCTTTATTTAATCTTACTTCACAGGTGTTACTTTCAGTCTTTTTTTTTTTTCCTGACTTTCCTCCAACATGTATTAAACTCTTCTCAGTGTGCCTCCACTCCTAATGACACCAGTAAACAAGTTCCAATATTTTTTCTCTCATCTATTGATTTCTTGCTTACACATGGAGCTTTCACGCTATGTTGGTGAACTACCAACAAAAACAATTTAACAAACTAGTGATAAAAATGTAATCCTCAGCTGATTGGAAATACAAAGAAATACAAAAACTATTCCACAACGAGTAATTTAATGATGATGAGCACATGCTCAATTCACAAATGACCTAACAAACAGTAAGTATACATAGATCACAAAAATTCAGTTAAATACTGTATTATTTGGTGAAAGACTGAAAATGCTCACACACCAAGGTACTTTTCAGAAAATGAATCCACTAATCTTCATGTTAGAAAACCAAGCTAAGCTAAGCAGAGCAAGCTAAGAAAGCACTTGATAACAAATTCCAGTTCCCACTGAGCTTCCCATGGCTTACACTGGCCAGGGGGGCCATGGGCAAGAAGCGTGGCTAGGCCATTTTTGTTTACACCTCTTTGAGGTTAGACTTGAAGTGGCAGCTCTACATGTAGGTACTTGTCTATTAGCAATTCTTTTACAACATGAGTCCAAAGTAAGCATATTATATTGGAAGATGCGGTAAGCCTTGTTTTTTTCCTGCTGTTTTAAGGAACAATAGTTAGAAAAACACCATTTCATAGTATGGGGTGATTGCAAAGCTATTATTTACTTTCAACATTAGTTTAGTCATTTGACACGAATGCTTTATAAAAGTGCTATTAACTGAAGTTTTAAAAGAGAGTATTTGGTTTAATGAATGCAGTTTGTTTTTATTTAAACATATAAAATGAAAATAAACTTTATTTTAAAACAGACGGGACAGTTATTAAGTCTTGGCAATTTATCTTCACTTCTTCTGAAATATTATCTAAACTGACCAGAAAAGGGAAAAAGGAGAAAGGGAGAAATAATATCAACTAAATCTTAGAATCTAGGAACAGATGGACAAATGGTAACTGACTTAGGAGACTGGAAAAAGACAATGAGAAGAAATCTAATTCTTACCATAGAATTCCAGAAATGCTCAGGAATTAGAGTACCAGATCCTTCTAACAGGGAGCAGAGAATAAGACAGTAGTTGAACATTTTTATAGGAAGCTCTTAGGCCACTACATTTTTTCTACCATTCACAGCAAAAAGCACTCTATCCAAACTCTTGAAAAAGAGAGTAGATTTGATTTTTGGAAATGTGGAACAAAAAATGATGTCTTAGATCACAAGGTATAGCTGATACCATATTGAAAACAGGGGAATTCATGAAACTCTATGTAATAAATCACGAGATGCCCAGGTCCATTAGACCCGCAGAATGCTGAAAAATACACTTGTGCCTATCACAGCCCTAGCCATACAGGAAATTGCGGGTGGGCGGGCGTTGGCGGGGGCGATTAATCACTGAGAAAACCAACCAACTCAAAAGGAGAGGGACCTATGGATACTAACTATTTGTTGTACCCTCCAACAAAACATTCTGATTTTTGTCAACATATTTCAGCAAAGACCATCATTGAACAGGCTTAGGGGCCCATTCCTAATAAGCTATTTTGTTTCTCACTTAAACATGAATGGACAAGATTACAGTCTGGTATGACAGAGTAGCTGGTGTGATTAACCCTCCTGCATATAACAATTATAATCGCTGGACCATGTATAAATACAGTTATTTAAATATTCATAAGAACCACCAAAATCAGAAAACTGCAAATTACATAATTCATGAAAGAAAGGAACTCTTCTGAATAAAATGCACGTATGTTTATTTGGCTTTCCCTTTGAGGGCTCTACAGGCGCTACAACACTTAGTAGCTTGAGGTGTCAAAAAACAGAATTCAGGACTGACAGAGAGGCTAGAAATAGAGGAGGAAATTCCAAAATGAAAGGACTACAATGGAAGAATCCAAATATCTATATATAAACTGTGCTCAAATACTAAGATCACTTTGGAAGCTAACGGCAAAGAACTAGAAAAGAAAAAATTTATACTTTACTATTCAGCAATAAAAAGAATAAATTACTAATATGCACAGATATATGGGTAAGTCTCAAAAACATTGAGCTAGATAAAAGAAGTCAGAGCTAAAAAAGAGTGTGTATTGTGTGATTCCACTTATTAAAATTCTGGAAAAACTGAAGGTAGAACAACCTACATGGAGATAAATCTGGGTGCTATTTAAGAACACTAAAGTTTCTGAAAAGAGTAACAATGTTACCTATAAATAATAGAATTTCATCACACTTCTCATTAATAACACTGGATTCTGGAGCAATCATTTCAAAGTTCAACAACAACAACAAATTGATTTTGAACTTATGTCCAAGCTAACTAGCCTTCCAAGTGAAGCAAAATAACAGACATTTTCAAAAAATCAAGGGCTCAGAAAATTTGTCACCCATTTATCTTCTCAAAAAAAATCACTATAGGATGAACTGTAATAAAATCAAGTATGTGTAAGAAGGTGAGTGACAGAATACAAGAAAGTGCTAAAGTGAAAAAAACTAAAGTTTTAAAGACTATTAGTGCCCAATACAATAATGTGAATTTGTATAATGTATTAGTCTAGAAGTCTAGAGGCAGCAAAGGAGACAGGTTAGGGCAGAAACATAAAATACACTACAAATCCCATGCCTTCGAGCCAAAGATTAAATATGGACATTGATAGAAAGTTGTACTGTTAACATAAATTCAAAATGTAAGGATAAAAATGATAAGAATAAAAAGTGTTTATAGCTTTCAAACAAGTTGCGGAGAGAAAACAAGACAAAGAAAATTTGCTAGACAAAAGGCGGAGGGGTAAAAACGAAACAAAACATTATAAAATATTTAAAATGACAGTGGTGCACTCCCAAGAATGCCTCACTCAAAGTTAGCCCCCTCCCTGGGAGCTGTTTGTACCCAGTTACTCATCCTAGACTCCTTGCCTCAGTTCTCAACAACTCTGAAGGCGCAGTCCATCTCCAGAGTTCTCTGTGGGATCGCCTGAGACCTCTGGGACAAACGTATCACAGTTTGACCCCTCATCTGCTCAACTCTTCCCTTACTCCCTGTTGTTCCTGATTGTCCCCCAATAAACTTTGCGCATGTATATGTATTTCTTCTCTATCTCAGTGAATGTTTCTAAGGGGACTTGATTTTAAATATTTAGTGCCAAGTGGTCCAAGGAAGCAGACTTTAAGGATGGAATTTTGGAGCCGAATCACTCACCGGCTGCCTAACAATGAAGATCTCATTATTGTCTGTGAGTGAAGCATGGTAGCTCCTGGCATACATGGCAACATATTCTGATTATGTGTTGTTGCCTAATGAATAATTCCAAAGCACTGTGGCTTAAAATAACTATTTCATTGTTGCTCATGGTTCTGTGGGCTCAGTTGGGCAGTCTCCAGCTTCAATGAGGCTGAGGTTAACAGTCATCTAGGAGCTTGATTGGGCTTATTCACATGGTTGGAAGCTGATAATGTCTTCAACTGTGAGATCACCTGGACTGGCAACCAAGTGCCTACATGTGGGTTTTTCAGAGCATTGCAGCTGTGATCCAAAAGGGAACATCCCAAGAACAAGAGTTCCAAAGGAGAGGATGTCGAAAGTGCATCAATTAAGGGCTAGATAGAGCAGCATCGCTTATACCATTGTATTATATTATCTAAGTGATCATAAGCATCATAAGCATAGGCCATATTCAAGGGGAGAGGAAGTAGTATGTGTGACATACATAAGGAGGATGCGGTGAACTTGCAGCCATCTTGGGAGTCTAGCTACTGAACAGCATAAGTGTTAAAGTTTCA